TACTCGATCGGCTGCAACTTCTCGCCTGTGGATCGGATCTGGCTGGCGCCGGTTATGGAGACGACATCGTCGTCCCCATAGCTCGGCCAGCGTAAAGAGGCGAGAAGGCCTGATGCCCGCCACGGCCTGCCCTAATTCCGAGATTGCGGTCGTCATCTCGCCCGGTGAGGACGAGGCGAGACGGCGCCGGGCGAGGGGCGAATCGCCCCCGAGGACGCCAATACGCTAATGCCGCCGATACTCGCTGTGTGGGCAAGCAAGGCCGACGAAGACGCTGGTGGCGGCGGGTGGGAAGAACTCGGTAGAGGGTTGGACATGATCGAACCAGAGATCTCTGATACCAGATTGTTATGTGGCTGCTATGATTGAGAGGGAGAGAGTTTAGGGAGAGGCGGCGACGGTCGGGCTACAGTACCGCTTTGCTACAGTGAAGTGGGTACTGTTTACAACCATAATTGTGACGGCTAGGGCTGCGAGGGAGGCTGGAGGCCGGCCGGGGGCCTTGCCCACGGCCGAGCAAGAGGGAAGGGATTTTCTTCTTAATTCTTGCTTGATTAGATCGATACATCTCATCTCCTTATATAGAGAGGTTTACTTAACTCCCAAGCAAGGCTTACTTGACCCTTAAGTAAGCGACCCTTATCTCTAATTAACCCTAACACTAATGGCTATACAGCCAACCCAGACCCAATAGGCCCCTGACGTACTCTAACAGCACTATAGCTGGAAATAGTTTACAATAAACTGTAAAAACAACATGGAGAGGATCACGATAAGTAGGATAGCGAGATTATGTTACAAAGGATGTCTTAGAATTTTGGTTATAAATCGGTTTTTTATCATAGTGTTCTATATTCAACTATATTCTCCTTTCACCATTAAACAATTTTTTGAATGATTTAGACATTTAGTTACTACTCCAGAAAAAGAACAGCAAAGGCTCTGAAGGTTTACTCTGATCAATATTGACATTAATAAGATGATACCTAACATCTTTGAACTGCATAGGCCCAATCCTTTCAATAACATGGAGCAGTGCCTTATAAATATGAAGGATACTTCTTTACGGTGCTTTTCATTCACTACTAAATTCTTAAAACAGCATCACTTTAGTCAGGGGCATATATTATGATATGTTAGAAGAATAAAGAAATATTATCGTACCAGAATCAGTCTTTGCTTGATAATGAATTGATGTTTGCATGGATAATATGGGGTTGGTATTATGAATGATAATCCACTGAATGATCACAAAGCCTCACAGTAAGAGATTAGGCCATGAGGTTTAGTAACCCAAGGAGATGCAATTTGGAGACACTATCACCTTTCTACCTCTACTACATTAATTTTTGGAGGCCACCGATGATCAAAATCCCAGTCTAAATTTACCTGTACACTTTAATTGGATTTTAAAATTTAAAGCACTAACATACCTTTTGTTTCCTTCCATATTTTATTCAGATTTACCTTTTGCTAGAAATATCCAAAAAGCAGTAGCAGCAGAGATCAATCTTTGTGAAGTGTTCCTCCTTTTTTTTGGCAAAAGAAGGTGTTGGCAAAAATTGAACTGATAAATAAATGCAAAGATATTGGCAAAACACTACAATTTGGATGCAAATCATTTATTCAGAAATCATTGACAACAATGCTGCTCTGCAGGTACATAACTATCATATCCTCACTGAGTTTCTGTGTTTTAGCTCCTAATAACGTGCATAACAGCATCACAACATGCTGCCCTCACTGCTTATCGTTGTGACTTAGCAATTTGTAGATTATTTCGTGGCCCAAGTCTTCTGTATTTATTCCAATTTTACTTTCTGTTTGGAATGATCTACGGATCTCTTTTCTTACAAGAGAGAAATGCAACCAATAGTTCTTACAAGAGTATGCTAGAGAGATCTAACTACGTTCTCATCTCAAGCCCTGATTTAAGAGTTCATGTTTCATGATTTTGTATGCTTAAAAATCAAATCATGTGAACCTGTGAACAAGAAGATTTAAGGAAAAGTACACTAAGTATTTATTAACTATGCTACGAAGCTATTAGTTATTTTTTTAAGTTTAGCAGTTTGACATGATTACAACCTTCTTAATTCTATATAGAATATAGCTCATTTCAGCTATATTTTTTTAGGTGCACTGCTTATATTGAGCCACTGGCCAAATTTTTACAATCAATTGAGGTTTGTATCCATGGTATTGTGGTTAGTATGATACTATGACACTGCACATTGCTCACCATATTGTCTATTTTCTAATGTCCCTGTAGTTCTGTCATTATGGCATCTACTTTCTTACAATGATATATGCATGTAAAAGCGTGATTCTCTACTAATAGTTCATAATCCCCAGCCCATTTTATTGAGTTTACCCATCAAATTGTCAGGTTCGACTATGCTTACAGCTACTATAATATCGACACTCAATAAGGATTATAACATCTCCCACATTTGTGTTTCTGATAAGCTATCTGCATATTGTCATGTAGCATAGTAATTTATTTTGTAAACACAATAATTTCTCATACATTTAAGGTACAGTAGTGGATATGTCTAATTTCTAAGTAGCCATGTTGCTAAATTATTGTTAAATTCAAGCCATGTGCTACATCATATACCTGATAAGAAAAAAGTTCAGTATTAAACATAAACTACATGCAGATAACTGCTCTTCACATTTAGCTAAAACCATAGTGGGGTGATAGAGAGCAATGGTTTGTTTTAAAAATCTATCCCTATAAGCATATACAGCAGTAATTCATAGTTTTATTTTACTGTGCTTAACATTACTTCCAATAACAAAAATATCTCTAATGCCGTCTCTTATTTACTGGAACAGCCCTAGCTGGCGCGGCAACGCCGCGCCCATGGTTTTCTAGTATACCCTAAAATTGCATCTAAATTGTCCACCCTACCATTATGATTGATAATCCAAGTAAATCCTTGAATTTAGATCTAAATTACCCAACATTGCTGCTATAAAAAATGAATTAAAATATCAGATCAAATCTATATCTATATTATCAACATGTTGATGTACTCAGCTATTATCTAATATAATTCTTTAGTCGCAAAAAAACTAGCTTCATAATACTATTAGGCCCCGTTTGGATCCTTGAAATGAATTCATTTTAATAATCATAATTTTGGCCCTGTTCGCTTTGCTGAAAAGCCATAACTGAAAGTATTGTTCGCTGATTTGTTGTGAGAGAAAAACACTGTTTATTCGTTGAAATAGTACGGCTCATAAGACAAACGAACAGGGCCTTAGCCACATATTAATGAAGCTAATATGGTTGTATATGAATTATTATTTGTATATTATTGTTGTTATACGAGAGATATTTATGTGTTGCATTTCTACCGTAGGGAACGAGTTCAAAATCGTGTTATAAATTGCAAAGTAGAAACATAGAATGTTGATCCATAGAATCAATTTCTATCTCTCACCCTATAAATTTAAGATAGATATATATGTGAACTTTAGAAAGTGGTGGAATATTAAATTTTAAGTCAAATAACTTAATTTATTAAATAGATTTTAATTCTTCCAAATAAAACGATCCAAAATTGAGAAAGGCTTGACACGCCGGCGGTTTGCAGAAATGGAAGAGAGGCGCGGCAGGCAGCAGGTGAAGGTTTATATTGGCATCGCGGCGCCCCGCATATGTCTGGGATCGAGGAGGCTTTGTGGCGCCTTGGAGAATATACCGCCGCGGAGACAACAACGCTGAACGATGGCAACCTCCCTGTCCCTGAATTGTTTTCAAGGCCTTGTTTAGATACCCTTAAAATTCTAAGTTTTTTCACTCTTTCTCCATCACATTAATTTTTAGCCGTTTGCATAGAGCATTAAATGTAGGTAAAAAATAATTAATTGTACAGTTTAGTTGGAAATCACGAGATAAATCTTTTGAGCTTAGTTGGTCTACGATTGGACAATATTTACCAAATAAGACGAAAGTGCTACTATTCATCGGGTTGAAATTTTTTCCAAACTAAACAAGGCCCAACTGTGAAGACAGGAATACAGAAATAAATACGGCGCTGACGAGATGCCGCGTCGTGTGCATCTAATTGTCTGTCTGTCTGCTTGCTCACTTTCGACTCGGCTGGTATTAAAGTCGGCTAAAACTGATTTATTCTAGCTGATAAGCCGGTTGATAAGTTGAAGTTGGGATCTCAGCAGCCACGGCCACTGGTATCTTTCTTATAGGAATCCTGCACTCAAAAGAGGACCAGGCAGCGTAGGGCCGTTTTCCCCGGCCATCGGATCAGCCATCGGATCAGCCGCGCGGAAGGCTGGATCTAGCCAGTCCCGGTCTTTTTGCGAAAGAAACCTCTAACTTTAGTAGAATCGGCCTGCAGTTCAGGCCTCCTCTCAGTTTATTTTTCAAAAAAGCTCTCGAACTCTACGAAAATCAACCCTCAATGCCTTTTAAATGGACCGGCGTGCCTCCCTCGCGAACCCGGGTCGAGGTCCTGATTCCACCACGCTCCACCTTGCAAGCCGGCGGCCAACGGCCTCCGCCAGCCCCTCCGTGACCGCCTCCTCGGCCGCGGCGCATGGGCCATGGCAAGGGGCATCCCGTCCTACTCCTCGCAGCCCCGGAGATCGCCGCTCCCCACTCCTCGCAACCGCGGCCAGCCTACGGCCTCCGCTTGCCGCGCCGCCAGCTCCTAGCCTCCTCCGCAACCGCCTCCTCGGCCGTGATGCATGGGCCACGGCAAGGGCGCAACCAACCGCGCACAAGCGCGGCCGCCGCCGTGGCAGCGCAGGCGCCAGCGACCAGCGAGGCGGCGTGACCCGCGCTGTCAAGCCGAGCACGGCTCGCACGGGCGTGGTCCCAGGGCAGCCGGACGCGGCCGCGGAGATGCGGACCACAAGCGCAGTTGCCAGCTATCAGCAAGGCGGCGCGGCCCGTGCGGGCGACCTGAGGGCATATGGAAAAGCTTGTCCAGTCTGCTCACGAGGCATCTGCAAAAGCTGAGGGCGCCATGCTGGTCCCCTCCCCCAACATCCTCCAGCAGGTGAGCCCGTCCGGTCTGCTCGCTGCGGTTCCCGACGAGACCAGCCTCATCAGGCGCTCGTACTCCCGAGTCCCGCCTCCCCGTGTGCTCTGCCTCCACTGCTATTTCGTGCAGCTGAATTGTTCCATGTCAACAGTCATGTGCAGGAGAACAGTCATGAGAGCGCACGCAAGGTGCTTGGCGAAATGCCAGCAAGCTGAGGTTGCTGTTACCGGGAAGAATATTTTGCACAAGGTCTGCTCCTATTCCATCTGTCAGTAAGCACCCAAAACCAAAGGTTCGCATCTTTGTATTGCTTCAAAAAACTTCCTCAATCAAATTAATGGCTTAATATATCTATTGCAGTTCATTCCATGGGCATGGCACTTCCAGACAAACAATATTGTCAAGTGATTGTTTCCATAAGTGAATCATGTCTTGTTAGTAATTCTTGCAATGCAACTTCATATGAAGATTAAGTGATGAGTAGGTTTTGCTGTAGGATGGCAGAGGCAAGCAGAGGATCCAAGAGAAATGCTTTAACACAGTATTGTAATGAGATCATGGAAGATGATCGTTCAAGAGTGTACAGGTTCCAGATCTTGCTGCCGAGTGGCGTGAGCAGAAGGCTTATGTCGCATGATCCTAGCGAAGAGATATCGGTTTTTGATCTCTTAGGGTTAAGAGGGAGTTAGATAATATACACTGGGATTGCTCTAACTTTCCCCACTGCACATCGATTATATAGATCTTGATTTACTTCCTTACTCTGAAATTATCTGAACCTTTACATCGATTAATATGTGCCACTGTTTATGCAACAAATTAAGTACATGCATTCTCAACTTTTAATGCCATATCACTGGAGGTGTACAACAATAACAAAGCCTTTCAGTCCCAAGCAAGTTTGGGTAGGCTAGAGCTGAAACCCAATATAATGATCTCCTGATCACGGTTCAGGCACGTCAATAGCTTTTTTTTTATTAAACATTGCATTTCATCTCATATTTTTTATACTAATCCCATTTGTACTGCCCATGTAAATGTCACCAAAGGTGGAGAGGGTGAGTACATGGAGGCAAATCAGTATATCATAGACATTATCCACGTGTCCAAACAGAAATATCAAATGATGCTATTTTAGGTTGTAGAAACAGCCTGTTTATCAGGTTGTGTCAACCTATTATAGGATAAGGCGTATGCAGGAAATGGTCCTGAAATTCTTTTTTTGCATAGTTTAAGTAGCAGCCTGGGACTAACACCAGTAAGTGTACACCCTATTGCAACAAATATACAATTCTACTCTCATCATAGTTCCTTTGCTCTAATTTATAACTACTTATGTAATATCCTAACAGGATAACCTTAAAAGAGTAGTATTCCTGGCATCATCACTAATGAAAACTGTCAATTCTCAACATTTGCAAACCTCATTTTTTATAGCTTATGCGCTAATGTTAGCAGGGTTTTATCCTTATTCCTGACAAAAAAAAAAATCCGGTACATACAATTATTAATGAAACAGGAGGTTGCTAACTTGGTACAGATTGCAGCTCAATTTGAATCAGCAACGGAAGGAGAAAACAATTATGAATATGTTGACATGTTTCAATCTTGAATAGTATATGACTGAAAAATGACAGGCTCAGGATAAACCGGATCAGAGCTTACACATACAAGCTGGCCCTTCACCGAAGAGCGCGGCAACGCCGCGCGTCTTTCTAGTATGTATGTAATGTAACGTTCCCCTCTTTGCATAGATAGATATAGTTCCTCATACACCTCTGCCGGCGCCCTCGCCTCCGCCGCCAGCGCTTCTCCAGCGTGGTTCCGACCCATCGGGATCAGCGGGGGCCGCCCTCGGCTCCTTCGCCAGCCTCCTCAGCGATGCCGTCGGCATCAGCGGCGGCCGCCCTCGCCTCCGTCGCCGGCCTTCTCCAGCATCGCTCCGAGGTGCTCTTCTTTATTCCGCCGCTTCGTATACACATTTCGTATTGGTACATCTGTGTACTTGGACAATCCTTGCTCATCGCGTCCTGTGTACACATTAGTTTATCAGACATTGTTACATGTCTCTGTTCCATATAATGCAGGCAAAGATGCCATTGTTGCTCTATGGGATCAGCAGGCAGAGCCATTTGATGCTGAAAAATATATGTATATGGCCACCAAGGGTCCTGTGGCCTTCCTCTTTGTCGTAATGACAAGCAATTTTTTTTTATGACAGACAAGCAATTTATTTAATGGTACCTCATTATACTCCCTTACTGATCGCTTATCTGGATTGTTTTCGTTCTTTCCTTCTGTGCTGACAGACCCTATCTGCAGACAATCAGAATATAAAATGTCTTTTCTATTCATAACTCATGGATTACACAGTAATATATATTATGTATATAGCGCTAGAGACTGCCTAACAATGCCTACATGGTATGGTTGATCCCCATCTCAGATTGCTGCAGAAAGAATCACAATAAGAGAACTTGCAAAATTTGACAACACACATCGGCCCTGTTCGCTTGTCTTATAATCCGTACTTTTCAGCTTATTTTTTCAGCTGGAACAGTGTTTTTCTCTCACAACAAATCAGCCGGAACAGTGTTTCGGCTTGTTTTTTCAGCGAAGCGAACGGGGTAATAAATATTTTTCGTGATCATGCAGTCTAATAAATATGTCATCAGTGTGAGGATCAAAAGCATTGTGACCAAGTGACCAACAAATCATGGTGGTACATGGACTGCACAGTACCTGTCTGCGAAAAGACTGATAACCCAGTTGGATATGGTTACAGGTGCAGTAGCCTTAGGTGTCATGGTGTTAATGCTTAACCTAGGTACAATGTTTTCATTTCTGTTTACAACACTATCATTCGTTGCTGAGCCTACAAATTTCTAATGATAATGTCTATCTGACTGCTCCACTGTAATATGCAGATATCTTTTACCTATATTTTGTCACCGACGCTGTACAAGAACCTCATGAGGCTCACTCTCCACTCTCCAGCCATAGAGATGGTCTTCGTCAGTCCAACAGTAGAGGAAATAATAGGATGTCCAATGAATACTCTTACAAATGATGTTGGTGGCTTTGGTGCATTTATTCCAGTGCAAATCACATGTCTATATGCCAAGCAATTGGATTTGCGCATCAGCGTGCCTTCCATGTCGGTTCAAGATCAGAATATCACTTATCAAGTTCATATAATGTTGTTGGAGTGACTAATTTTCCTCTCTTAAAATCTACACAAAAAGGTGCTCCAGATCATACAGACCACCCTACATTTTATTGTTTCCATCTTAAACGAATACATCATCCTCATACACTAAGGTGCTAAAATACACTATGTTATTTCTGTTTATGCACCTGCAGACCAGGAAGAACTTGTACCGCCAGCAAATCAAACGCCCACAAAGGTAACATTCTATTCCTATAGGCATAATAGCACTTTATGTATACCATATATAGATATAATACTTAGTTGCCTAATGCATAATGCCTTCAGAATTCAGAAGCATTGCCTGCAGTGTCAACACCGAGCACCCCACCATCATCATTGGTATATGTATACCCACCTACTATATACACAATGTGCTACACTTACATGTATCACTTTCACATACCTGGCTCTGTAATGCATAATTGCTGATTTCCTGTATGTATATGTATTTCCCTCTCCCAGATACAACCATCAGGAACACAGGCGACAGGTGATAAACGCCAGCAGCCAACCCGAAACCAAGTGAAGTAGGCAACCATCAGGGTAACCACACATCAATAACATATTTAGTGACTACAGCAAACATAAATTCAATAACATATTTAGTGACTACAGCAAACATAAATAATGCTTTCTCTAACAATTCCGTCTAAACAGTCAGGAACATGCATATGCTGAAGCCAAGGCAAGACATAAGCTAGATCTTTCCTCTTGTGGACAACAAAGGTGCCCCCTCAAACAGATCCTATGTACCTTCAATTAGAATGGAAGGACATGCTCATTCAAATTCTTTTGCTCTCTACCTGCAGTGATTCCAAATAGTAGAACGACGCCCATCCGTTTGCCTACAAAGATACAACCTGTCACAGCGGCTACTATCTCCTTTTCAGTTTCAGCAATATAATGCTGTCAGACTCTATGAAGAATACTGCATGCTCCACAATGGTAAATGATTCTTTTCGTACAGAATGAGGTTGAACTCAGCCTCTATATGTATGGTTATGCTGTTCAGAGACTGCTCTAGGCTGGGTTGAGAACTCAATACCGCCTATGATGCCTGTACGTACCATGGCAATATATAAATATATAGAGCCCACTATCACCGCGTCTTCCATGAAACCTTATTCCATTAAGTGCCTAACAAGATGCTCTGTATCACTACACTACAGTAACAAAGAAACCATCCACGCACTCCCAGATTATCACGTCTTGATCGCGTTCGCACGGAGCCGGCGCAGCGGAGCGCGCCCTCCCGTGCAGTACAGCTTAATTGATGGGGATCTCAGGCTCTCAGCCAAAATGTCCGCGACCGGGGGGAGCACATTTGTCGCTGCTTTTGTGAACTGTGATGCGTGGAACGTGCACTTAAGAAGAGCATCAGCTGCCACAGACTTTTTTTTATGACGTGGCAACGTTTTTAAGAAGAGCAGAAGAAGTTTCGAAGGGATAAAGCTTTCTTGGCACGAATACCGACTCTATGAGTCATGGAATTAAATGTTTATGAAATTATAGAATGAAACTCTCCATTGAACGTGTGTTTTATCTATGTTTCATTTCATTCTAGATGACATGGCAATCTTGAAAACAACGTCATGAAACTCTCTAATGAGATTGGCCTAATACGACGCTGTCTTGGCATGGCACTCTGGCATTTCCCACGTCGCACTAAGCAGCTTGTCCTAGCTAATCATATGCTTTGCATTATACTACCACGGAGTAGTGGTCTAGGACTTAGCCCACCGCTGCCATTTCCCACTCTATCAATACCTTGTGAGCAAATTCTACAAACTACCATTCAGTGAGCCAAACAAAAGGCTTACAAGGAGCTCCGTGTGTGATATGGGCCGTCTATGCAAGATGTCATGGGAGAGTAGTAGGTGGCGCTATGATCAGGCCAAAATCAATGCTATTTCTAAAATCATTGTAGAATAGAAATCATGGTACAATGGCAAACTGATTCTGAATTAAGGGGTGTTCGGGACTGCTCTGCTCCACGTTTTTCAGATTCGCTCTATGTTTTTTAGCCAAACGGTTTCAGCTCCACGCACTCTGTTCGAGGAAAAAGGGTGGAGTTGTGAGAGCAACTAAAGAGGTGCTCCACAAACTCTAATTTTTTAGAGCTACTCTACGGTGGAGTTTGCATAACAGAGTTCGTGGAGCAGTCACAAACACCCATTTAGTGTTATCAATCATGATGGTATAAGGGCGGCGATCGGCCAACGTGGACTTTGAAAAGACCGGGAGTCTCACGACCCAACCCCAAGTGTAAAGCCCAAATTGGAAACTGTTTTTTTTTGGGAGGGGGGATTTCGTCCTTTTTCTCAACCTTCGTTTTGGGCCTTCCTTTTTTTGTTTCCAGGAAAAAAATCCATTTTATACCTCTTTAACTATTGTTGTAATCTAATCTTGGAAAAAGTTCAATTTATCTCATTTAACTATCACGGTCGTCCGATTTTGCTTCTTTAACTACAAAACTAATTTTTCATATTCCTCAACTTTTAATACCATTTGTTTTTTCACCGTGGGTGATTTTGATGGTGATTTTGCTTATGTAAATCCACCTTAGAGGGATAAATCGAACAAGTTTATGGGTAAAATTGGACTAGAATTTTTTTTTACAAAAATATCCCAAAATTCAAAAAAATAAAATTCAAAAATTTTATCCAAATATTTTTACATGGAAATTTTATGTAATTAAAATACTAAAGTTTGCTTTATTCTTAGAAAATTTGTTTTACCTCAGGAAATTGTGAAACTAGTTTTATATTTTTTTTTCTAAAACATGCTCTCTCTTGTGCCTAGCTTAAAATTGTTTGAATCTTTATGCCTCATTTTTGTGCTTATTTGCTAGTAGAAGCTCTCATTATTTATTACAAATAGTGATGTTGGTCGTCCAGACTAGGTAGAAGCGCTAGTGGAGCGTTGTTAGAACCATACCGGGCGTTCTTACCCTGTCCTGGATAATTTTTGAAAGTACTTGTGCTAGCTTGCGTGGTTGCATGCATCCTGCCATGCATGCATGCATATGTGCGACAAGGTGCATGTAACAGGGACAGAGCTACATTGATGCCTGGTATTCCCAACAATAACAAGCTCTTGTGTGAAGATAATACTTAGGCCCTGTTTGGTAGAGCTCTAGCTCCTCATGTGGAGTAGCTTCTCTGGTGGATGAGTTAAAGCCATTTTGATAGAAGCAGATATCTTAAGATTTTGTTCTAAGTTCATAGAATTTGAAATTCAAAATTTAGAATTTTTGGATGATCTCTAATATCGACATGGTCTAGGCCAAAGTTATAATTCTCAATGTGATCTAGAACTTTATAGTTGATAATATTTTATTTGAAGTTGTTTTGAGTGTCCTAAATATGTATTTAAGTTCTTAGATTTTAAATTTTAAATTTTAGAATTTCCAAAAGATCATTTGATGTTGACATAGTCAACACCAAATTAATTTGTACGGGTCGACACGATCTATAACTTTGTAGTTGACAAATTTTTTTATTTGAAATCGTTTTGGGTCTTAGGTATTCATTTTATATTCTCAAATTTTGATAGTTAAAATTTTCAAACAATTTCGGAACAAAACATGCCCTATACTAGAGTTGTAATGCTCAACAAGATCTAAAATTAGTTGTAACACTGCATGCTTCAGTTGCAAAGGATCGAGTCCTTTGGAGGAAACATGATTATCCTCTCAACATCTATTTTATCAAAAGGTACGGACGTAGGGTACAAGCCAAATAATGCATCACGAAATTTGCAAACAAGTTTAAGGCCTTGTTTAGATGTCATCCAAATTCCAAGTTTTTTCACTCTCTCTCCATCACATCAATTTTTAGCCGCTTGCATGGAGTATTAAATGTAGGTAAAAAAAATAACTAATTACACAGTTTAGTTGGAAATCACGAGATGAATCTTTTGAGCCTAGTTGGTCCATGATTGGACAATATTTGCCAAATAAGACGAAAGTGGTACTATTCATCGGGTTAAAATTTTTTGCAAAGAGAACCAGGCCTAAGGACCCTTTGGACTGTGGGTCGTGTTTCCTGCGTTTTTTTTAAGAATGAACTGCCTTCTGCAAAATTCATCTACAATTCTCGTGAAATTCCTGCGTTCCAAAAGAGTCGTAAGTAGGGATGCATCATCCTGGAGTATATATCAAAGTTATAGTGTTTGTTATGATCTAAAATTATTTGTAAGAAGACGTGCTTCAGTTGTATGCACTCAACTTCTGTTTCATCGAAAGGTACGGTGCAGTAGTTGAAACTTGAAAGAACGCAGCACGAAGTCATACTTTCGGTAGTACTAGTACGTACAGGACACGACGACACTTACGGCAAATATGCGACACATCGAGTAATTAAACTAAACTCTACTCGACGACTGGAGGCAACCCTACACACGCACGCACGACCCCGAATGGAAGTGCGTGGAACGCACGAAGCTACACGTGCGTGATCATCCACTTATTATAGCTGGACAATATATATATAGCCTTTTGGGCAGTGGCGCCGCAACCGACGACGACCGTACGTCGTCGTACTACGTATGGGTCACCAGAAGAGCGTGGCCGCCGCTAGCAAAGCAGGCCGACGGCGGCCGTCAGCGGGACGAGGGACGCGTACACGAGCTTCCTCCCGGCAGCGAGGCGGCCGCGGGGTTCGGCCATCACCCAGACGGCGGCGCCGAGCTCGGCGACCCCCGTGTAGAAGAGCCCTGAGAGCGCGAGGAGGTAGCAGCAGCTGGAGTAGTCGTCGTCGTCGTTCCCTTGCTGGTGGAGCACCGCCGGCGGCGCGGACGACGACGACTGGGAAATGGCCATGCAGGTGATGGCCGTGGAAGCGGTGGCCAAGCCTGCAACCCCCAGTGCCGCGCCCGCGGGGAACCAGCTGGTCGCGGAGGCGGAGGCGCCGTCGTCGGCGTCGGTGTCGCCCTGCCGCCGCTCCCGCCTTGACTGGTGGTGGCTCATGAGCGTCACCATTATTCGCTCCTGGTGCGCAGGTGAGGTGAGTAGTAGCTTGCTTGCTGGCTATGTGTTTAATTTTTTTTTCTTTTCTTTTTGAACGGTACTGGCTGCCTACGTGTGGGATCGAGAGTGGAAATATATATAAGGGCGGCAAGCCCTCCCCATGGCCCTTCCGTTCCAGATGAGATGAGAAAATATGAAAAACATCGGAGACCCAACTGGCGGAGGCGCCTGGTTGTAAGGTGTGCTTCTCCAACCGAGGAAGCTTCGTAATGTCACGGCGGGGACGGGTGTGCGTCGTCAGTCTGAACACGGACAGAGTCGGGGGGAGCTGAGGAAGCTTCGTGCCCCACGTCAAATTAATTAATAATATATATTTATGTATTTCTATATATATATATATATATATATATATATATAGTATGATCTATATATCTATACATAGCTTGTAATTCTAAACCATACTATAATTCTATCCCGACATGCAAAAAATCTACTAGCAGTCCAGTAACATATATAGATTATGACCTTATCTCACAGTAACCTATGAGGTATGCTTTTTGATATATAGGGAAATTATTTCCTACTCGCAGGGAGTAATTACTTCCATGTGTATATCTCAATTTAGGACGTATATGGCCTGACGAAGTGTATGTAGATAGAGTATATCATCATACTAGACCATCTAGGGTACTATGTATGATAAGTATGTATGTATTCTTAGAGTATATGGTTATACTTATTTTATATGCTACTATCATAGTATTATATAATATATTAAAAAATATGTGCTCTTTTGAAAAAAAATTCACATACTTAAGATCTGGAATATCTTAATATTAGTATGTCAACGTACTCAAACTGATAAATGAGTATGTACATATACACAACGTGATTTATTGATTATGGGAGTAACTACTCCCAGGAGTATATAAAATGCGCCTATGGAAAAAATTTCCTACTCTATGGAAATAGTTACTCCCTCCTCCTAACCATGTACTCCTGTCCATGCGTTAGTACTCTTAGTGGGCCACGAACAATTAAATCTGATAAAACATATCCAGTCTTCGACCAAGTAAATATTTTTAATCATTATTTATCCCTCCACTGGGCTCGCTAGATGAGATAGGTACGATCGACTTCCATTCAAATTCATTCATATCCCACGATGTCTACTTCGTTCTCATCTAGTTCGTCGTCACTGTGGCTCGGCAGGGAGGCAGGGCGCGCCACCGTCGGCGACCCGCCTACAGCGCTGCATGGAGCGGAACCAGGGAGAGTGGGTGACCGCAGGCTATGCTGCATGCATCTCTCTCTCCTCTCCGCTGAGCGACGCCGTGATCCAGATCGAGGCATCGCGGCGGCACCGCGGCAGCAAGACCCTGGCAGTAGTGGGACACCATGGCGTTCTCCCTCGAGAAGAGCTGTGCCACCGCTTTCTCTTGATGAGTGCGGCAGAGCGCCTGGCGCACTCCCCAACATGCGCACGGTGGCCCTTGGTCCCGTGGCTGGAGACGACGATAGTCCTTCCATCGCTGCCGAGCAGGAACTACTCTACGTGCCTTCTCAAGCCGGCAACGGGGAGAAGACTCAAGAACACACGCAACCATGCGCAAATCTGCATGAAGGAGAACCTGCAGAAAGCTGTTAGTTGTTTTTGATTCATGTTATTTTCAGAAATAATATCTCTGCATACTTTTTTCATATAAGTGTATCGTTGGATACTTCTTTCATGGATTAGAGTATCACATGATACTTTCTTTGATTAGAATAGTGTTTTTCATATAAGTTTATCATTGGATACTTTCGTTGGTAAATGCTCCATCCGAAGCTGTGAACTTTTACCCATCAGTTCAATAGCAGATGGAGCGTGAGACAGGAGCAATGGCGCCTGCAATTCCATGATTTTTTTAGATGAGAGTATCACCCGATACTGTTTAGAAGGATCGAGTCCTTTAGAGGAAACATGATTATCCTCTCAACATCTATTTTATATAAGGTACATCGCAGACCCAACTGGCGGAGGCGCCTGGTTGTGCGGTGTGCTTCTCCAACCGAGGAAGCTTCGTAATGTCACGACGGGGACGGGTGTGCGTCGTCAGTCTGAACACGGACGGAGTCGGGGGGAGCTGAGGAAGCTTCGTGCCCCACGTCAAATTAATTAATAATATATATTTATGTATTTCTATATCTATCTACATATATATAGTATAATCTATATATCTATACATAGCTTGTAATTCTAAACCATACTATAATTCTATCTTGACATGCAAAAACATCTACCAGCAGTCCAGTAACATATATAGATTATGACCTTATGAGTTATGCTTTTTCGTATATAGTGAAATTATTTCCTACTCCTAGGGTGTAGTTACTCCCATGTGTATATCTCTTTTAGGACGTATATGGCTTGACGAAGTATATGTAGATGGAGTATATCATCATACTAGACCATCTAGGATACTACGTATGATAAGTATGTATGTATACTTAGAGTATATGGTTATACTTATTTATATGCTACTATCATAATATTATATAATATATTAAAAATATGTGCTCTTTTGGAAAAAAAAAATTCACATACTAAAGATCCGGAGTATCTTAATATTGGTATGTCAACATATTTAAACTGATAAATGAGTATGTACATATACGCAACGTGATTTATTGATTATGGAAGTAACTACTTCCGGGAGTATATAAAATGCACCCATATATATATATATATATATATATATATATATATATATATATATATATAGCCGCAGAATAAGCTATTCTGTGGCTACTTTGAGTTACGATAATTACTATACTAATTTACGAGATTATGATAACTCCCTCATAAGTGATTTACTATAGCATTATGGTAAGTATCATCTTAAATTATAGTAACCCATGTATTGTAAATGTGTATTGTCATTATCGTAAATTGATACAAACATTATCGTAAATCAAGGTGGCCATAGAATAAGTTATATATATATGGAGAGTATATTCAGTAGCCAGCTACAGAATAAGTTATTCTATAGCCACCTCCATTTACATTAATTTTATATAATAATTTACGATAAAGTGAATACATATTTACGATAGTTGTGTTATTATAACACATGAGAATATTTACCGTAACATTATAGTAAATCACATAGTAAGGAGTTACCATAATCTCGTGAATTAGCATAGTAATTATCGTAACTCAAAGTGGCCACAGAATAAGTTATTTTGTAGCCAGCTGCTGAACAATAGTTCTATATGTATATATACGGAAATTTTTTCCTACTCCCTCGAAGTAGTTACTCCCTCCTTCTAACCATGTACTCCTATCCATGAGTTAGTACTCTTAGCGGGTCACAAACAATTAAACCCGATAAAGCATATCTAGTCTTCCACCGAGTAAATATTTTTTTAATCATTATTTATCCCTCCGCTGGACTTGCTAGATGAGACAGGTACGATCGACTTCCATTCAAATTCATTCATATCCCACGATATCTGCTTCGTTCTCATCTAGTTCGTCGTCACTGCAGCTTGGCAGGGAGGTAGGGCGCGCCACCGCCGGCGACCCGCCTACGGCGCTGCATGGAGCGGAACCAGGGTGACCGCAGGCTATGCTGCATGCGTCTCTCTCTCCTCTCCGTTGAGCGACGCCGTGATCCAGATCGAGGCATGGCGGCAGCACCGCGGCAGCAAGACCCTGGCAGTAGTGGGACACCATGGCGTTCTCCCTCGAGAAGAGCTGTGCCACCGCTTTCTCTTGATGAGTGCGGCAGAGCGCCTGGCGCACTCCCCAACATGCGCACGGTGGCCCTTGGTCCCGTGGCTAGAGACAACGATAGTCATTCCATCGATGCCAAGCAGGAACTACTCTACGTGCCTTCTCAAGCCGGCAAAGGGGGGAAGATTCAAGAACACACGCAGCCATATGCAAATCTGCATGAAGGAGAACCTGCAGAAAGTTGTTAGTTGTTTTTGATTCATGTTATTTTCAAAAAATAGTATCTCTGCATACTTTTTTCATATAAGTGTATCGTTGGATACTTCTTTCACAGATTAGAGTATCACATGATACTTTCTTTGATTAGAATAGTGTTTTTCATATAAGTGTATCGTTGGATACTTTCGTTGGTAAATACTCCATCCGAAGCTGTGAACTTTTACCCATCAGTTCAATAGCAGATGGAGCGTGAGACAGGAGCAATGGCGCCTGCAATTCCATGACTTTTGTTAGATGAGAGTATCATCTGATACTGTTTAGAAGGATCGAGTCCTTTAGAGGAAACATGATTATCCTCTCAACATCTATTTTATATAAGGTACGGACTCAGGGTACATCGGAGACCCAACTGGCGGAGGCGCCTGGTTGTGCGGTGTGCTTCTCCAACCGAGGAAGCTTCGTAATGTCACGACGGGGACGGGTGTGCGTCGTCAGTCTGAACACGGACGGAGTCGGGGGGAGCTGAGGAAGCTTCGTGCCCCACGTCAAATTAATTAATAATATATATTTATGTATTTCTATATCTATCTATCTATATAGTATAATCTATATATCTATACATAGCTTGTAATTCTAAACCATACTATAATTCTTTCCCGACATGCAAAAAATCTACCAGCAGTCTAGTAACATATATAGATTATGACCTTATCTTGCAGTAACCTGCGAGGTATGCTTTATATATATATATATATATATATATATATATATATATATAGAGGGTAAGGTTATTCTGCAACTGGTCATAGAATAACTTATTCTATAGCCACCTTGATTTACGATATATATATATATATATATATATATATATATCATCAATTTCAACATATCGCTTCACAAAATGTTAAATCATTTTTAATTTAACTAATATATCAAAAAAATATTTATGATATATATAATATGTATTAAAGATTGGATGTACAATATGATTTCAAAAAAAATATCTAAATATAGAACATTGATACTATTTTCTATATCTTTAGTTAAATTTTGAAATGTTTAACTCTTATACAAA